GGATCCTATATCATTAGATATCCAACATGTTATCATTCCATGTATCTCCTATATCACTATATTTCCAACATGTTATCATTCCATGTATCTCCTATATCACTATATTTCCAACATGTTATCATTCCATGTATCTCCTATATCCATGTTATCATTCCATGTATCTCCTATATCATTATATGTCTAACATGTTATTATTCCATGTATCTCCTATATCATTATATATCCAACATGTTATCATTACATGTATCTCCTATATCATTAGATATCCAACAAGTTATCATTCCATGTATCTCCTATATCCTTATATATCCAACATGTTATCATTCCATGTATCTCCTATATCATTATATATCCAACATGTTATCACAACCACATAATCTCAAACCTATCATCACTCTCTTTCAATCTCATCATGATATCACATCAATATTTAATCGTGATGTCATGTGTTACGTCAACCGGATGTTACAACATGAGCAATGACAGTTTGAACAGACTGTTTACCTGATGTTGTTATGCAATATAGTAATATGCTTTATTTAACAAAATATAACTTTTTTCTAAGATAAAACTTTGTAAGACCGACAAATATGAAAGTTGGCAATTTTAAATGGGTAAGTACATGTCTAAGTGGTATGCTTATCTTTCGATAGTTAACTTTCAAATTGTTAAAAACCATCCGGTAAACCTCGTGTCTTTAAACAATTTGAACATGAACGAGATCGAAATAGATACAAGTAAACACGATAACCAACCACCACTTAATTGGGAACCTCTATATATATATATATTTTCCTCTTCCGCTTGGGTGCGCTCAATTAATTTGCATACTATGATACATGGTATGTTTGATTTTTATGCAGATTATATTTTATATTAGTTATAATACATGTGTACTTTACCTGGTTCAGTTCTTTGTAGATTAAGCAGTAACATTATTGTTGGCAGAATTTAACTGTCGCAAAATATGACTAAATAGTTTTAACTATAATCTTAAATTTATTATTTACGATACATTTTGTATTTCAATAAATGTGAAGTTTCACGATGTAATAATGTTGAGATATGTTCTGCATGAATAAAAGTATTGTTTGTTTCGTTTCGTATTGTTTTGTTTTTTGTTTGTTTGAATGTTTTTTCAAGAAAACTTATAGATTTGAGAACAACATAATATGACATTAACAATAGATACGTATTGCCATCAATGATTGTCTACATCAAGCGACAGTTTGAAGAGTAAATAAATGTTGGCAATATGTACCATCACGAACTAGCAGGAATTTATGTGTCAGTTTGTCCAAAACGGACGATCTAACAACTTCTATAAGTACATAGCTGATAACAGGGAAGTGATGGACAACTCTGTACACTACCATCGACGTACATGCAGCACATCACCTAGCTCCCGAACAAATAACATCTTGTGGGATTCTGTGCGTGTATAACCATCGTTCGACTCTATTTATTCCATCGTCATTCAACCTAATATAACTTTATCATGTTGACTGTTTGTATCTGTTGAGCTTAAATACTATTATCATAACATATGGCTTTGAAGTCGGTTGGCAGCGTTTAAATTCTTGGTGTGCTAGTAGGCATGGGTTCGATCTCCGGTGTCTACTTAGTTCTGACGACCGTTAATCTAGATTCTCAGATATTCTATATCTATTGCTAATCTCTGATCATTCCTTAGTAAATATCGCTGGTCTGCTTCTCGATTTTTGAAAACAAAATAAACAATGAAGAGAAAAACAGAATATGTGACTCATGTTCTTTTAAAGGAAAAAAAAAGGATTGATTGTGACGTCAATAGCGAGGAAATGATCTATGTATTATTGACAATGCAATAGTAGGTGGTTTTTTTTAATGAATACCGCCTTTGTTTACAATTTTAGGTTGAAACATACCAGCAAGATTGTTGTTTATTTTAGAGATGTCATTGTTGGTTATTGTTAATATCACTGTTGTTTAATATAGATAAACTGTTGTTTATTATAGATATACTGTTGTTTAGTATATATATACTGTTGTTTATTATAGATATACTGTTGTTTATTATAAATACAATGTATACTGTTGTTTATTATAGATATACTGTTGTGTAGTATAGATATACTGTTGTTTATTATAGATACAATGTATACTGTTGTTTATTATAGATATACTGCTGTTTAGTATAGATATACTGTTGTTTAGTATAGATATATTGTTGTTTATTACAGATATACTGTTGTGTAGTATAGATATACTGTTGTTTAGTATAGATATAATGTTGTTTAGTATAGATATAATGTTGTTTAGTATAGATATACAGTTGTGTAGTATGAATATACTGTTGTTAAGTATAGATATACTGTTGTTTAGTATATATACTGTTGTGTAGTATAGATATACTGTTGTTTAGTATAGATAAACTGTTGTGTAGTATAGATACACTGTTGTTTAGTATAGATATACTGTTGTTTACTATAGATATACTGTTGTTTAGTATAGATATACTGGTGTGTAGTATAGATATAATGTTGTTTAGTATAGATATACTGTTGTGTAGTATAGATATACTGTTGTGTAGTATAGACATACTGTTGTTTAGTATAGATATACTGTTGTTTATTATGGATATACTGTTGTTTAGTATAGATATACTGTTGTTTAGTATAGATATACTGTTGTTTAGTATAGATATACTGTTGTTTAGTATAGATATACTGTTGTTTAGTATAGATATACTGTTGTTTAGTATAGATATACTGTTGTTTAGTATAGATATACTGTTGTTTAGTATAGATATACTGTTGTTTAGTATAGATATACTGTTGTTTAGTATAGATATACTGTTGTTTAGTATAGATATACTGTTGTGTAGTATAGATATACTGTTGTTTAGTATAGATATACTGTTGTTTAGTATAGATATACTGTTGTTTAGTATAGATATACTGTTGTTTAGTATAGATATACTGTTGTTTAGTATAGATATACTGTTGTTTAGTATAGATATACTGTTGTGTAGTATAGATATACTGTTGTTTAGTATAGATATACTGTTGTTTAGTATAGATATACTGTTGTTTAGTATAGATATACTGTTGTTTAGTATAGATATACTGTTGTTTAGTATAGATATACTGTTGTTTAGTATAGATATACTGTTGTTTAGTATAGATATACTGTTGTTTAGTATAGATATACTGTTGTTTAGTATAGATATACTGTTGTTTAGTATAGATATACTGTTGTTTAGTATAGATATACTGTTGTTTAGTATAGATATACTGTTGTTTAGTATAGATATACTGTTGTTTAGTATAGATATACTGTTGTTTAGTATAGATATACTGTTGTTTAGTATAGATATACTGTTGTTTAGTATAGATATACTGTTGTTTAGTATAGATATACTGTTGTTTAGTATAGATATACTGTTGTTTAGTATAGATATACTGTTGTTTAGTATAGATATACTGTTGTTTAGTATAGATATACTGTTGTTTAGTATAGATATACTGTTGTTTAGTATAGATATACTGTTGTTTAGTATAGATATACTGTTGTTTAGTATAGATATACTGTTGTTTAGTATAGATATACTGTTGTTTAGTATAGATATACTGTTGTTTAGTATAGATATACTGTTGTTTAGTATAGATATACTGTTGTTTAGTATAGATATACTGTTGTTTAGTATAGATATACTGTTGTTTAGTATAGATATACTGTTGTGTAGTATAGATATACTGTTGTTTAGTATAGATATACTGTTGTTTAGTATAGATATACTGCTGTTTAGTATAGATATACTGTTGTTTAGTATAGATATACTGTTGTTTAGTATAGATATACTGTTGTTTAGTATAGATATACTGTTGTTTAGTATAGATATACTGTTGTTTAGTATAGATATACTGTTGTTTAGTATAGATATACTGTTGTTTAGTATAGATATACTGTTGTTTAGTATAGATATACTGTTGTTTAGTATAGATATACTGTTGTTTAGTATAGATATACTGTTGTTTAGTATAGATATACTGTTGTTTAGTATAGATATACTGTTGTTTAGTATAGATATACTGTTGTTTAGTATAGATATACTGTTGTTTAGTATAGATATACTGTTGTTTAGTATAGATATACTGTTGTTTAGTATAGATATACTGTTGTTTAGTATAGATATACTGTTGTTTAGTATAGATATACTGTTGTTTAGTATAGATATACTGTTGTGTATTATGGATATACTGTTGTTTATTTTAGATATACTGTTGTTTAGTATAGATATACTGCTGTTTAGTATAGATATACTGTTGTTTATTATAGATATACTGCTGTTTAGTATAAATGTACTGTTGTTTATTATAGATATACTGCTGTTTATTATAGATAAACTGTTGTTTATTATGGATATACTGTTGTTTAGTATAGATATAATGTTGTTTAGTATATATACTGTTGTGTAGTATAGATATACTGTTGTTTAGTATAGATATACTGCTGTTTAGTATAGATAAACTGTTGTGTAGTATAGATATACTGTTGTTTAGTATATATATACTGTTGTTTATTATAGATATACTATTGTTTATTATAGATATACTGCTGTTTAGTATAGATATACTGTTGTTTATTATAGATATACTGCTGTTTATTATAGATAAACTGTTGTTTATTATGGATATACTGCTGTTTATTATAGATATACTGCTGTTTATTATAGATATACTGTTGTTTATTATAGATATACTGCTGTTTAGTATAGATAAACTGTTGTTTATTATGGATATACTGGTGTTTATTATGGATATACTGTTGTTTAGTATAGATATACTGCTGTTTAGTATAGATTAACTGTTGTTTAGTATAGATATACTGCTGTTTAGTATAGATATACTGTTGTTTAGTACAGATATACTGTTGTTTATTATGGATATACTGTTGTTTATTATGGATATACTACTGTTTAGTATAGATATACTGCTGTTTAGTATAGATATTCTGTTGTTTAGTATAGATAAATTGTTGTGTAGTATAGATATACTGTTGTTTATTTTAGATATACTGTTGTTTAGTATAGATATACTGCTGTTTAGTATAGATATACTGTTGTTTATTATAGATATACTGCTGTTTAGTATAGATATACTGTTGTTGGTGATGTTTATCTTGCTAAAGCTAGTTTTAGCGTTAGATAAACTAACGTCAGTCCTCGTATAACGTCTTTTTACCATCTCGTTGTCGAGTGACCTTCACGTTTGCCTTACAAACGACAAGTCAGACATCACAGCCCTGGTTTGTTTGATGTCATTAACTTGCTGTTAAAATTATACAGCTATTTTTGCAGCTAAATATCAAAATTTAATTTTACAATATTTTTAACTTTTTTGGTAACATTTATAATATTTATTACAGAAAGGCCTACCAAATTCACATGGCATACATGTAAACTGTATATGTCATTGTCCACGTGTTGGCATCTTTATTATGAATTGTTATGTTGAAAACAATGGACACTCCATTTATTGAACAAGTATAGACACAAAAAAATACACTGGTGTGGATTTACTGCAAACTTTATTATGATTCAAAATACATCAAAATGGTTAATATAAGCATTGAATTGTGTTCATTTGATGCTTGCCTACAAAGCTGTGTCACTCATATAGACTGTAAATGCCACATCAACACAGTTCAATGCTTAATTAAATCAGTTCTGAATGTTCGTTCAGCTAATTAACCAGTTATAAAAGTTTATACAACATCGAAGATGAACGTCCGAAAAAAGGGAAGCACGAACTGTAGGGCCCTCTCCTCAAGCACACTCTTCAAAGGAGTCAAAGCGACTAAGGGTGGTAATCAGCTGGTTTATTAAGTCAACCCATAAACACGTTTTAGGGTAACATTTCTCTCTGACCTATACCAAAAGGTGAGACTTGTGATTGCCCTTGACTACAAGACGTATAGTGTTACATCCGTTGACCTCGAAAACAGCCCAATAAACATTGTTTATTTGAACAAAATATAAAAGCGTCGATATAAAAGCATAAATTCATTTTTTCTGTATGCACAACGTGGACACTATGGCAGTGGGTCTATCTGTGTATCAACATACGGGTTATAAGTGTCATTTCCGTTGACCTTTGACCCTTTATTAGACAATGTATTGTACACATCTGAGTCAAGTGTGTTTTGAGTACTGTCATAGGCACTTAAATCTTCTTCCCTGTGTCTATATCCGGGTTTCGTGAGGTTGTGGTAACACTCGTCATTAGAAACCGTATTGGCGTGGTCATACATATTATCGCTATTTTCAGCGTGACTGGTACGGGTTGCGTGCAATTCGTTGTAAGTGTCATTTCCGACACTCTCGGCTTTGGGATCTCTAACCCAGCCACTTCTACTTGTCTGTACGTAATCGTAAGGTCCTCGTTTACGAGTCTGTGACTCACACGACAACGATCTATCTTGCAAAGAAGAAGAAAAAGATACAACTCCCTCTGAATTATCAGCTAAATCATAAAGGTCATCGTTTGACCTTTTGTCGTTAGAGTCTCTTCGCTGGACGGATTTAGTAAAATCGCTGGAGGAATTCAAATTCATTAACAGTTTAGTCTCATCTTTTCCAGAATCAGTAATATTAGTATCTTTTAATTTCGATCCAGTGCCACACACGACACATTCTGCACTTGCAGCCTGGTTCGCGTGCCTGCAATCGCCTCGCCCGATGGTCTCCTCGGGATTGTCTGCCACCATGATGTCCCGGGAGTCATTATTATGTGTATCTAGAGGTATTACATCTGCGTGCAGTTTGGCCTTGTCACGACGACGTCTGAAACAAAACAAAAAGAATTCCATCAGAACTTACCTACAAGAATTGCTTAAATAAACGACCCGTTTTAAAGGTCAGAATAGAATATGTGATTAAGATAAAATATACATTTCAATAAGGGTAGAGTGGTTGTATTTTTCCTCTAAAGCTAGCTTCACTTGGTATCAAATTAACAACAAACATGAACAATACGAAATTTTCGAAATCACAAATTCATTACATCCGCTTACATAACGCGTTACCAGGACAACAGAACGCTCTATGGTAACTATTTTGTGCTACATGCATAACAGGTCATTTTCATAAGTATAAGGACACGATACAATGTTTTTTTAAATAAAGCATAAATAAAATAAAAAGAGAACATTATGAATTGCATAAATAAATGCCTATGAAGTAGCGCACCAAGTTTTGGCTATTGAACACTTCAAAATAGCTTTATTTGTTATCAGTATACACTGTACCTTCAAAACGATATATCATATACACCTTACCCTATAACGATATATCATATATACCTTACCCTATAACGATATATCATATTATATACCTTACCCTAGAACGATATATCATATTATATACCTTACCCTATAACGATATATCATATATACCTTACCCTATAACGATATATCATATATACCTTACCCTATAACGATATATCATATATACCTTACCCTATAACGATAGATCATATATACATTACCCTATAACGCTATATAATATATACCTTACCCTATAACGATATATCATGTTATATACCTTACCCTTTAACGATATATCATACTATATACCTTACGCTATAACGATATATCCTATATCCCTTACCCTATAACGCTATATCATATATACCTATAACGATATATCCTATATCCCTTACCCTATAACGAAATATCATATATACCTATAACGATATATAACGATATATCAAATATACCTTACCCTAGAACGATAGATCATATATAACTTACCCTATAACGATCTATCATACTATATACCTTACGCTATAACGATATATCCTATATACTTTACCCTATAACGATTTATCATGTATACCTTACCCTAGAACGATAGATCATATATACTTTACTCTATAACGATATATATGATATATCGGATATATCATTATAGGGTAAGGTATTTATGATATATCGTTAAAGGGTAAGGTATATAAAATCTATCGTTATAGGGAAAGTTATATATGATATATCATTATAGGGTAAGGTAAATATCATATATCGTTATAGGCTAAGGTATATATGATGTATCGTTATAGGGTAGGGTATATATGATATAGCGTTATAGGGTAATGTATATAGTTATAGGGTAAGGTGTATATATGATATATAGTTATAGGGTAAGGTGTATATATGATATATTGTTATAGGGTAAGGTAAATATGATATATCGTTCTAGGGTAAGGTATACATGATATATCGTTATAATATATCGTTATACGGTAAAGTATATATGAAATATCGTTATAGGGTTATCGTTATAGGGTATATGATATATCGTAATAGGGTAAGGTATACATGATATATCGTTATAGCGAAAGGGATATAGTATAATATTTCGTTATAGTGTAAGGTATATATGATAGATCGTTATAGGGTAATATCGTTATAGGGTTATCGTTATAGGGTAGGGTATATATGATATAACGTTATAGGGTAAGGCATATATGATATATACCTTACCCAATAACGATATAACATATTATATACCTTACCCCATAACTATATAACATGTTATAAACCTTACCCTATAACAATATATCATATATACCCTACCCTATAACGATAGACCATATATACATTACCCCATAACGATATAGCATATATACCTTACCCTTTAACGATATATCATAAATACCTTACCCTATATATACCTTACCCCATAACGATATAAAATGTTATATACCTTACCCCATAACTATATAACATGTTATATCGTTATTGGGTAAGGTATATATTATATAGCGTTATAGGGTAATGTATATAACATGTTATATCGTTATAGGGAAAGGTATATATGATCTATCGTTATAGGGAAAGGTATATAACATGCTATATCGTTATGGGGTAAGGCATATATGAAATATCGTTATAGTGTAAGGTATATATGATGTATCGTTATAGGGGAAGGTATATAGGATATATCGTTATAGAGTAAAGTATATATGATCTATCGTTCTAGGGTAAGGTATATAGTATATATCTTTATAGGGTAAGGTAAATATGATATATCGTTTTAGGGGAAGGTATATATTATATATCGTTATAGGGGAAGGTATATATGATATATACCTTACCCTATAACGATATATCATATATACCTTACCCTATAACGATATTTCATATATACCTTACCCCATAACGATATAACATGTTATATACCTTACCCTATAACGATATATCATGTTATATACCTTACCCTATAACGATATATCATATATACCTTACCCTATAACGATATATCATATATTAATTGCCCTATAACGATATATCCTATATACCTTACCCTATAACGATATATCATATTTACCTTACCCTATAACGATATATCATATATACCTTACCCTATAACGATACATCATATATACCTTACCCTATAACGATAGATCATATATACTTTACTCTATAACGATATATCATATATATCTTACCCTATAACGATATATCATACTATATACCTTACGCTATAACGATATATCATATATACCTTACCCTTTAACGATATATCATATATACCTTACCCTATAACAATATATCATATATACCTTACCCTATAACGACATATCATATATACCTTACCCTATAATGATATATCATATATACCTTACCCTATAACGATATATCATATATACCTTACCCTATAACGATACATCAATTATACCTTACCCTATAACGATAGATCATATATACTTTACTCTATAACGATATATCATATATATCTTACCCTATAACGATATATCATATATACCTTACCCTATAACGATATATCA